TGAACAGGTTAACCTGTGGGGTAAAAGGGATGTTCAGATCACGCAAATGCCAGGGAGGCAAAACAAACCAAGGACCTATCCAGAAGTACAAACATCCCCCACTTGTAGAAGTGGGGGTGCACCTTCATGCCAAGGGCTTTTCAGAGAGGTTACCTGATCTCTGGTTTCAAGCCCTACAGGATCAGGGCAGGTTAGGCTCTGAAAGCCTAAGACAACCTACTGGCAAACTAGATGAGGGCAAAGGGTACCATTCCTTGGACTCTTCTGCAAAACTCCCGCATACTCTGGCCAACTGTGGCATTACTAATCACAGTGCCAAGCAAAGAGCTTAATAGGGGATAGCCCTTGAAGAACAAACAGTCATATGCAGAATGCTCTGCACATGTGTGCGAATATCAGCCCCATGAGAGGCACAAGCTTAGAGGCTTGTAGTAAGCCATTGCACCTAAGCAACAAGGCTAATTTGTTCCGGTGGCTCTATTAAATGGGCCTCACCCGGCATCTCTCAAGGGAATCTTCTAATTCTGACACAGTTTGACAGGTAAATGTTAGTGCCAAAACTGGATGGAGGGCTAGACCAGTCAATTCAAACTGGGATTTAAAGAAGTATTAAACGCTTAAATCTATTTTTCTCCAAATGCTTCAGTCATGTTTACAAACAGCTGGATCCAGCTCTCTCTGCTCGCCTTCCCTGAACTTCCTGTCCAGTACAAGATCACAAAAGGAGAGCATAGTCTTCAGCAGCTGTCCATGTTGGCCGTGTGGTGGGGGGGGGGGGGGGGGGGGGGACTGTCCTCCCCTCCTGTGCCTTTGTGTAGACACGTACAGCTTACTAGAACACAGAAAAACACATTAAAACATTTTTTAATGTGTTTTTTGCACTTTATTTTCTTATATGTTACTTTAATTAAAAAAGTTAATATTTTAAACACTTTTTTTTTTCCTTTACACTAACCTTATTACTATTACATGGGGGGGGAGAGACTAACAAGCCCCCTATGTAATAGCAGATCGGGTGTGACAGGTCCTCTTTATGGAGACATCCGGGGTCTTTCAGACCCCTAATGCTGTAAGCCGCTGAATCTCTCTCTGATCGTTGCGGGGAGACCCACTGTGCCGGTCCCAGGCCTGCACGGGTGACGGCTGTTTAAAATGACACTGTGTATTTGGTTTAACCACTTCTGCAGGCCCCCGCATATACACGTATTGCGGCCCGGAAGTGGTTAAACAACTCGGCTCATTGTGAGGCAAGGGCTTTAGGTACACACTATGGACTGGGAAAATTATCTGCAGCTTACTAACAGTACACTCGGGTTTGTAAAGCACCACAATGCAGAGCCCAAAGGTCATATTCCAGGCTAGTCCTGCAACTTCCAATCCAGTGGGATAAAAGTATGGCATCCAATGCTAAGGAAACGCAAATCAAAGCAGCTGCTATCTGGCCCTTGAGGGTACTAAGGGTCAAATGGTGATCCAGACCCAACGGCAGGAAAGAAAGGATCTGTCCCATGGAGAAACTACTAGGGTGAGAGCCTCTAGACTTGCACCAAAGTACGCCTTCCAAATCCAATGACAGACCTTACAGAAAGTAAACTTCCTAACCTTGAGCTTTGTAGAGATAACACGCTCAGAGATGCCCCTGTCCTACAGAACCCGGGTGTCAACAGCCATGCTGTTAAAGCCAGCAACCCAAGAAGCAGGTGACTCCCACAGAGCCACTACTGCATCCACTGCTACCACCAGAGGATGCCTGGACCAGGAAACAAACCAGTCTAGTTTGATGCAGAATCTAGCAGCCAGGAAGTTCAACTCCAGTGTCGCCGGCCTGTGACACAGGCCAGCGTCCAGATGCTGCCAGCTAAGAAAATCTGATTGAGAAATGTTCATGGAGAGAGCTGAGAACATGTTGTTCTGCTCAGGACAGTATTCACTCTACCTCTTTTGCCGCAGTGAGACTTCTTGTTTTTCTCCAATGACTAGTGTACAGCATCGCCGTGCTGTTTTTTTTAACTAAATCCAGAGAGGACCTGATAATAGGTCAGTCCAACATTGGAGAGACAGCCAAATTGTCTGAAGCTCCAGGATATTTATCAGGAGACAAGATTTAGCCGATGTCCAAATCCCCTGCGCTGACAAAGTGCTCAGGACTTACAGGCTAGTAATGTCAGTTGTAAAGATTTTACAAAACATATGTGGGGGGGGGGGGGGGGGATTAAGTTTCTCTAGGGCAGTGGTTCTCAACCTGTGTAACCTCAGGACCCACATTTGTACTTGGTCATTAAAGCTGGCCATACACCTTACAATTATCTGCAGATTTTCTGTGGTCAGATGGAAAAGATGCAACACATTCCTCCCTCTACACTTAACTGTGTGGATGGAGTAATCTCCACCTGGGCCAATCTGTTGCACTTTTTCCATCTGACCACAGAAAATCTGCAGATAATTGTAAGGTGTATGTTCACCTTAAGTCGCGACCCAAGCCGCACTGCAATGGAATGCACAGGGTTGCGGTAGCTCAAAACTATAGGGTCAAGCAACTGGAGTTGACTAAGTTTCTCTGCAGACAGGCGGTAGGAGCAGATCAGGGATCGAAGTATCAAGTGGCTCATAGCAGAAGAAGCAGCAGGAGTTGGTTTCTTGACACTTTGTAGTGGGAAAGAGGCTGTGAAGTGCATGTTTGACACTCCACCAAGCAGAATGACATCAGCACTCAGTCCCACAGAGTTAACCCATTTTATGGAAAGAGAATTGAAAATAGACACCTAGAGACAGAATTCAGAATCTGTGAAAGCACAATGCTAACTGTTCTGGACCTGCAAAGCGCTCCACAGCTAATGTAACCAGAAACAGACTTGAAAGCAGCCAAGCAGTAACCCTGCGATGACTGATCCAGTAGGGTCCAGCCACAACAAGTCCCATAGTCGAGACTAAGGACAACTGTGCCAGGCAGCTGCAAGAAAGCAATGGAACTTCCTGCAGCTACATGAACCTAGACTGAAGAAGAAAAAAAAGTATTAAAATCAGCAGAGCCAAAAAGATGTCGATGGTCATAGGACAGTAGCCAAAACTAGTCTTGCAAGTCATGCTGGTTGTAGGAGGGGTTATCCCAGGGCTGGCCCACATTCTTTTTGATTGCCAGTGTCCAATTCTCCTGATGGCGGAATTATATCCTGAAGGTTTAGGACTTCCGGTGTCCATTAACAGACAAGAAAATTATTATTTTTTTGCTATATGGAGTGGGAGAAAGGTGCTGTGGGTGTATGTGCTAACCTCACTGGATGTTGGTATTTAGGCAAGCAACATTATGAATGCACAAAAACATGTCTGCTTCAATATCAACTACTTACCTTGTAATTATTGCCTATGTCACAGCAATAAATCCTCTGCAGTTGACTTTCTAATAGACTAATATGTAATTTACAAGCTGGGGAGAATTCACACTGGAGAAGTGAAGTCTGTAAACTGCAAACACTAAGCTAACTCTACTACTACCAAAATGCATTGCTTACTTATCCAATAATAAATGCACTTCTTTGCTAACTAAGGTTTATAAAAAGCTATTCAATGTGTAAAATGAAATGGTCTCTCTGATCTTCCCTGTACTATAAATGAGATTATATGCTCCAATGTCTGGCACAATAAAAAATAAAACATTTCTTTCTCCAATGCAACATTATATATCTATAGATCGATATATCCATCCATCTATCTATATTGTGTTTCCCTGAAAATAAGACCTACCCCGAAAGTAAGACCTAGCACTATCTTTAGCGATTCCTGTAATATTAGACCAACCCCGAAAATAAGACCTAGTTCGGTGGTAGGGGGCACATGTATTGCTGCATCCAAGCAGCCAGCCAGGTGTACGAGAGTAACATTCATTTATATGAGCAGCTGGTCTCCTGAAGTCTGCATGTATAAAAACATGTCAAGGACCGCAAAACATTTCATGCATACACGGCAGGGACTGACAGCCGCGACCCAGCTCCCGCCCACCTGTCTGCTCGGCTTCTACGGTACATAGAGAGCTGCCGCTGAAAACTACATTTCCCAGCATGCAGCGGCACAGCGCGACATGGCCAGTGGGGTCGGAGTGAGGTGAGGGAACTTCTGACTGGAGTTCCGTGCGACGAGGTGGCTCCCTGGACGGCATCAGAAAGGAGAGCTCCAGCACAGCTGCAGCCTGCAGGTACTGCGACACTGTGTGTGACAGTATTTTTTCACTTTGTTGCACATAAAAAATATGGGGGGGGGGGGGATATAAAAAAAAAAAAGGGCCTTATTTTCGGGGAAACACGAAAATATAGATATCTATATCTATCTATCACACACAGTATATATACGCGCACACACACATACACAATAAATATGAAAATTTGTGCAATTGTCTGCAAAATCCATTATTTTCCTTATTTGTTACAAAGCTATTGAAAAACATGATAGAATTGAAAACAAAAAATGAAGCATGTGCCTACGCTACATGAGTAGATAGTGTAATTTCCAAGAGTATGGTGCTATCTCCCAGGAGAAATATGGTTCCAAAAGTACACTACGGAAAATAGGTAGGGAACTGCTAGTCATCTGCGTGATGACATCACAATGGGCATTCTGTGTGCCTGGCACTAACACATATGCTGCCAAATTGAGGAACATGATCTGTCACCCACATCTGCACAACTCTTAATAAATGTATAGGTTTGCTCATAGCAAATGGGTAGCCCAGAAGTTAGCTTATCAACAGACTGTACTGACAAACTGGGCTAAAACACCATGCTTATATGTGTATACTGAGAAACATTAAGGCTGGCTGAAGACACAAAACATTACCAATACTGTAAAATGGAACCCTAGCAATATACATAGTCATCTTTAAAGGCATATGAGACATGGAACTGGGACCACAAAGTCAAGGCTAGCACTGCGTGTGACTCAAGTCACAAGTATGGCACATTCTACACACACCTTATTTGTCTCACTGAAGAAGACACATCCTCCAAGTATTGTTCAGTCACTGCTCACAACAGGAGCAGCATAAATCATACATGTTTAATTTAGAGATTAAAAACTTCAAAGCATTAAAAAATAAAATTGATAAAAACGAGTTACCGCACCTCTATGTTTTAAAAGAGGAAACCCAAACCCTTCACAGGAAAAAAAAAAAATATATATATCTCACACCCACTCAGTCTCTTCCATGTTAGATGTCACACTTTGGTTACCAGCTGCTCCCACTTGGTTAGGAGGAAGAGATATCCAGACTCGACCCCCAAAAGCCTTAAAAAGTCTTTAGGAACGCCTGTGCATTGTTCCCTTCGGCTCTGAATGCAGTGGTGGCAAAGCAGCGGACGAGAGGGCGGCAAGAGGGGCAGCTGCACGGCAACTGCTCCCCCACCCAATTTCAGCTGCTCAGGAATTGCTGGCAGAGTTATTTTCTTCAGTAGGAGAGGTGGAGGATGAGGAAGAAGCAGAAGATGCAGAGAAATTCAGGTCTGAAAGTCCTGGGGGGTTCGTAGCAGTGTTCTGACCACTCAGACTTTTCCTGCATACGGGACATGTATCATGCTGAAAGAGAAGGAAATGTCAGAACATAAGATTCTCAGTAAAATTGCAAACTGCATGATATATATCTATAGCTGGGAGAACTTGCACAATTGGTGGCTGACTAAATACTTTTTTGCCTCACTCTATATCTATATATATATATCTATCTATATAGATATATACACATACATACATACATACATACATACATACATACATATACATCTTAAAATCTTAAAGCTCTGGTGAGAGAGGAGAGGATAGGGGTCCAAGAGTCTTATCACTTTGCATCATGGAATTTGACACAAACTGCCATTGTGAGTTTTACAGGTGGCCACTGGGACTGTCAAAAAAATTACCTGATCTTTGCAAGTTGTCCAGAAGAAAAAGCTTCTGCAGTGTTTTTCTGCAGTAAAGTGAACCTGTTGCTATAAAAAGTTCTCCAAGAAAGCTTTTCCTGTAACAGAAGAGTGTAAGTACTTACGTAACCTGCCGCCAAGTACCACTTTGTTCCTTAGAAATGTTCCACTGAAGTCTGCTCAGAAAACCTACAAATCCGGCATGGGCACTGGATTAGTAAAGTATTTACAATCTTCTTTTACAAGGAAAGTTTGCCTGGAGATCTTCGGTGCAACGACAAGGTCACTTTCAGGAATGTCAGTGATGAATGGCAGCGTACAACAATGCGCGTTAGATGGTGAACACTGAATAGACCCTTCTTTTTATTTTAACGCAAGCTTTCTTACAAAACCACCAAAAACATATTTCAAACACATAATGATACCTATGTATGCATTACAAAAAACACTTGTCCTTGAAACAGCTTCCATTGGAAAGATATCACTAACAATGGCTCTAAACTCATGATAAACAGTATATACACACACAATGAAATGATTTTTTTCCTGCTCTTTTTAAAAAAATAAATAAAAAAGGGACATTTCCATGCAAGAGTCTTTCCAAAATGTTGGAAGTCACTTCAAAAGACCTTGGTTAGTGCTTGGAATAAACAGCACAACCGAATGCTCAAACAAGCTGCGTAGTCAGCAACAAACGCGCTGTTTAGCAAGGCGAAGGTGTCTATTAGGGATGCACAGATACCGAGTACCCTACAAGTACAGATACTTTCCCAGCTCCAAGACTAGAATAGACAAAAATTTACAAGTTAGGAGGAAGCTGTCATTTGTAAGAAGCACACGGAGCTTCTGGGATTTGTACATTCCTGTTTTAATGTACGATTTTTTATATAAATATAAAAAGGGATGCACCGATACCATTTTTCCAAGTACAAGTACTGATACATTTTTGTTAAGTGTCATGTGACATTTTTTCTAAAAAAATACAGACTAATGATTTCAGGACAGTGGTGGAGCACCAGAGCCAGGTCCCAGCTGCAACCCTGGTAGTTCTCATGAAAATGCCAAGTATCTGCACTGGTATCTGAAAAGTATCGGTGCAACCCTAGTGTCTATAGACATTTAAACACAGTCCTGCAATCTGACCATTGTGAGCAAAATCAGTAAACAATCTCCATTCATCAGCTACGTGTACATACGGTCAGCTAAAGTTAATCTAGGGAAGACAGAATCCTTGTTTGATCACTAATGTTTTCCTCCCGGTAAGCTGGTACTTAAAATGGCTACTGGTTTCATCCCCAACCCTACTCCATAGGCCTAAACATTTGGTAGGCCAAGGAAGTTTTTTCAAAGTCGTCAGATTGTTACTGCATGTTCCAATTGTCCTCCTTAGTCCATGTGCATCTTTAAATAGATCTTATTCCAGTTAAATGAAATGCGATTAGTTGCTATGTCTGTGAAGGTTCTCATTTATCCAGGTCATGGTATATCTGTAAAAAAATAAGTCAAGACAACTGGACTTGCTGTATTTTTCTTCAAGACATTTCACTGGTCATCTGACCAGCTTTCTCAATTCAAATTCAATTGTGAATTGAGAAAGCTGGTCAGATGACCAGTGAAACATCTTCAAGAAAAATACAGCAAGTCCAGTTTCCGTGACTTATTTTTTACAGATATAATTAGTTGCTATGTTTTACTGTACTTCGCATATGATCACTGCATTCTGCAATGCTCAGCACATGTAGAAGGGTGTCCTTCCTAACCTAAATTTCAGATCTCATTTTCAAACCTGCACAGGAACAATGGCAGATACAATCTGTTTTTATCCTCTTCTCCAATGTCTCCAATGGTTTATCATGTAAAATACACTGCAGCTGAAAAACAGATGCTATATATGTATTACGGTAACATTGCTTCTTGATAAAAGATTCCATTTCTGAACTATAAACAGACATCTCACTAAATCTAGCGGAAGCTCAGATATGGTGCAAGATTTACCAAGAAAGGAGAAGTGAGTGCTTCCACATACTGACCTGCTCTAACCAAGGGATGATGCAGTCATTGTGAAATAAGTGATTACAAGGCAGTTGTCGTACGTTTTCACCAACTGTATAGTCTTCTTTACACACTGGACACTCCAAGCCAGAACCTGGTGCCAGAAAATATATGAATTGTCAGAATTACCTTGGTTAGGAAAGAACACAGATACAGGCAAATTAAAATTGTTTGCATCAATAAGCTCCATATTACCTGATCAGACTTTTTTTGGTAAAAGAGAATGCTTTATTTACCTTTTAATGTAATAGCATATAAAAGAACCTAAGAAGGCTTACATAGCTATAGACATGACAAGAAAAATTGCAGCCTAAAGTCTATGTCGATGCTTGCTGATAGAGCAATATCCACAGATGACAGATCACCCAAAGGTTCAAGTGGTGTTGGTAGTATGTTCCTCCACCGACATAAAACAGTCAGCATTAGACATGGGTGAACCCATCTGCAAATCAGTGTATCCAGCATATAAACTACTTTGAGGCAAATCACAATTTTCTTGAATAGGAGTGCCAAGTCACCCAGACCATGAATAATCTCAGAAATCTTGAAGTTCTCCATAGATCAGATGATGTACCTTGTTAGCCAGGAATAAAAATACACAGGTAGGCCAAAAAAAATGTATTATCAACAAGATATCTTTTAGTAGCGAACTAAAAAAAAATACTAAAAAAATACAATCTTTCTGAGCTCTAAAGTTCCTTCTTCGGGTAACAGTATATTTGTTATAACTCGAGAAAGAAAGAAAAAAAAAAAAAAAGAAGACCGTTAAGCTGGCCCAAAGAAATATCCAATATTATAAAATTGCCATAAACCATTTAATATATCTAACACACCTTTCTCCGCTTAATCATACCCATACATATTTTCCCCAGGAAACCACTAAAGCTGGCCATACACCTTACAATTATCTGCAGATTTTCTGTGGTCAGATGGAAAAAGTGCAACAGATTCCTCCATCTACACTTAACTGTGTGGATGGAGGAATCTCCACCTGGGCCAATCTGTTGCCGTTTTTCCATCTGACCACAGAAAGTCTGCAGATAATTGTAAGGTGTATGGGCACCTTTAGAGCTTGTATCTTTTTTAGTTGGCCACTAAGAGGTAAGGTAAAAGAAAAACCTCACACTTTCAGGAGAATCACAATTTACTTTAAAGTATCTGACATTTGCAGTAGCTCATCTCCAATTCATTTGTATTTTATCTGCCAGTAGCTGTTCACATCAGCACATTTAAAAGCCCACGAATAGCTGTATTTCAGATACTTGCCTACATGTTCCTCTGTTATCTGAATTGTTGGAAGGGCTTGGATCTTTTCATTATCTGCAGGCGGAGGACCAGTGTTCTCAAATTGATTAAGTAACTAGGAGAAAAGATAAAACAGAGAAGACATCTTTACAAGAATGATCACCAACGTTATGCAAAGCTTCGCTACAAAGAATTAAGATATACCTGTGTGATGATTGTATCAAGGCCATTAGCTCCCCAAGCATAATCCATTGGATTGGAATGAAGGACCCCCCTATGTGGGGGAAAAATATGGAATTAAACAACAAAGCGGATTTCTTTGCATCTAAAGCCAAAACTTTATTTTCTTAGATTTGGATAGAGTCCGGAAGAGTTAGAACCCTTGCCAAGTTAAAGTTATTACTGTCTGAGGCGATTCAGCCTTATTTTTCCCTGTGACCACTGTCACAAAAATAAAGAAAACAAATTACAATTATCACCAGAACAAGAGGCGAAGGGGAAATCCTCCAATGGGGATGCCTGTTCCTGTGACATACATACATCCAACCCCCCGCCCCCCACTTTGGCTAGATTTGCTCTGATCTCCTATTGTGTCTCTAGGGCAAAAAGTTAAAAATAATTCTCCCCAATGGGACAGAGATACAAAAATAAAAAAACATAAATAAACCGAATACACTTGGGACAATAACAATGGGGAAAATTAAGTAACTCTTAGCTAAACAGAATTCAGTTCAATCATTTTACTGCTGACAGCTGTATCTTCCTATGATTTTATCATATTATGTGTATAACTTACAAACCTACAAATATGCAAATGCCACAATATACAGAAAAATATATATCTGCCAAATGATTTGTATTTCTGTCTATCCAGTTATGAGATTTATACAGCCCTGCCATACAGAACAGCCTTGTCTGGCAGGGCAAGAGACCCGATTTCTCTCTGCTGCAGTTAAAGCGGAACTAAACCTGCTGTGTCCCACAAGAAAGCTCAAGTTCAAAATGTTCAAGAAATGTTCAATACATGTTAATGAATCCTTCATCAAAACATACCAGCATTGATTTCTGCAGTGTTTTCATTCTGCCTACTAGCACATGCTCAGTGTATGCTACATATAAGGCATGCCTCTGTTCATAACTGTCACAGTTGCCAGTGTGCTTATGTCAGCTCTCAAGCAGTCTTTCAAGCATTTAAATGGCTACCGCCATAGCTGGTCATGTATGCAGCACCAAGCTCATCTCTTTGTCACTCTGCTCTCTCCTCCAGAAAACCCCTTGCACTGCAGCAGAACTGGTTGTGCTACTTCTCCCTCCAGTCTGAGCTCTCCAGTACAGGGACTGCAAGAGGCTGTTACCAGGTCAAATTTGGTTCCATTGCTGGAGCATAGGAGACAGGCAGAAGGGAGCGCCGGCACAGCCAGCCGATGCAAAGGATCGGGTGAGTATAATGAAAAAAAAACGAGCAGTTAACCCGTGCAGTGCAGGGGTAGCCCCTGTGCAAGGGTTAATAAAAATGTTGCCCGGAGTTCTTCTCTCATGTATACAGGGCTACACTAGTGTGTGCCTTTTACATCCTCCTGGAGTTTAGCTTTAAGGCAATAATGCATGCTAGTTTAGGAATTGTGCAGAAATCATCCAATCTAATAGTATACAAAAACTGAAAGCCAATATCCATACCGATAACAAACAGAGCTTAATCCAGTATCAATGTATTATAATATACTGTACTACTCTGCACAGCAGTACTCATTTATAATGATAAGGACATACTATACATGCAAATTACAGACACCAGACTCACCATGGCCCCAGTCCCAAGTTTGGCATTGCTGTGGGTGCAATGATTCCATTCACCAGCTGCTGAATGATCCTAACAAAGAAAGAGACATTTTATGTATGTATGCGTGTGTAAATATATTTACAAAAACACACACACACTAATGGAAGACTCTTCTAAAAAGAGTACTATAAAATCATTCTATTTTGCACATTTGTGTTAATAATACACTGAGGTAGCAAGGGCAAATGGCAACATAAAAAGACTGATAATTGTCTAGTTTGTCTATTGATTATATTTTGTAGTGATAAATACCAATTCACCGATCTCAGGAAAGCAAAGTAATGTAATGATTAAAAGAAGCCTGTACTGATAAAATATATAGGCTGCCATTGCCAACGCTCTAAAATGTGATTCTCTGACCTAATCCGGATTTCTCATTTTCACAAGGTGATTGCATGTTCCATGTCAGAGGCTCAGAAAGTATAGGGGCTAGAGGCAACTATCACTCACAAATGTCAGTATAGGCAACCTCAGTATTTCTCTCCAAACAGGTATGAGTCATTACTTTTGCAATCCTATCAGTTAGAAATGCAGCAATCTAACAGTTTCTGTGCAAGGAAGCTATTGTAAACTTTTAATTGTTCCCTTTTATGTTACAGGTCTGTAGCAATCCCTAGAAAGCAGCTGTACAATTCAACTTTACCTGATTTTCACTTGCAATGCCTTCATCCCACCTTTGTCTACTGTACAAAATATTTTTTTCGGTTGGCTGCAGTCAGGCAATAGAAAAAAAAATGTTCCAGCCATTTGGGAAATGACGGGACGATATGACTGTATCCAGGAAAAACGGAACAGACAGACTTTTGAAGGTAAAGTGGATTTTTACACAAGAGTTTCACAGCTGCTATTTAGGGATTTCTAGAGATCTGTGACATGAGTCAGGGTGCAATAAAAAGCATTTACAACATTTTACAGGTACTGCTAATTATAAATATGTATTTCTACTTTTACAACCAAATAGTGGGATAACACTTATTTTATATATGTTATATGTTCCCATTCACATTGCAGAAGTTAAAAAAAAATGGTCTCTTACAATTTTAAGTGCTTTATACTTGCTTAAAAATCCTACCTAGCTTTCCTCCATGTAATGTTAAATAGGGGCAGTGTTACGTTATGTTTTCATTAACAATGTCTATGCTGTGCTGGCAGATTTCATTATCAGTTGTAAACTAAATGTGAATGCTGTCTGTCCTAACACAGGGTTAAACCTTCGAGGTAATGTATGCTAATGTGAGAAAGCTCAGTCTGATCCTCAGTAGGACCCTCTACTTTCAAACTGCTTAGAGTAGCTTAGAATCTGCACAAAGACCTTCACCAAAGAAACTGCTAAAACAGAAGATATATATTTTTAAAAAATATGTTTGGGTATGCTGGGTAAATGGGGACACATACACTATTCACAGAAGGGTGAAGAGTTTGGAAAAGGCAGGAGAAGTGAACAATCTAGGATAAAATAGCTAAACTTTAAAGTTAGCTGAATTGGAGATTTTTTCCAAATCAGCTATGTTAGCCTAGATTGATCACTTTTCATGCCTTCTCCAAACACTTCACCCTTTTGTGAATAGCCCTGATAGTGGTGGCTTTCTCAAGTTTGATAACAAAAGTGGAACTACACTTTAAGTTTAAAAAAAAAAAAATCTAAGAGCCAATAGAATCTTTTCAGGTTTTTTTTTCAGGACCTGGGATATTATACTGCATTATCTGAATAAAGTTAGGTATATTAAACAGAAACAATGTGACCAAAAACAAGTATTTCTAAATATAAAAAGTGTGTCAGGTCAAATGTTACTGCCCCACTCCCATACCAAACTCTGCTCAGTTATTTCTTACCCTTCTAATGTAGGCACACCCTCATGCCTTCCCGCAGAACGCCTCGTACTCAGTCTCGCACGTGGCTGTCTTGCACCGTATCGCTGCCGCGACTGTTGCTCTCTTCTATTTTCACTTTCACGGTTCTCTTCACTTGTCCCACTTGCTCCAAAAATAGGGAAATCTAGGCCCTCATTGAAAATCCCAAAAGTAACTTGACCATAACCAGGAGGTAATGTGAACTGTGTGGGCTCTAGGCTCTTTAATACAAAGTTTTCAGAGAGAGTGCATTAGAAAAAAGAAAAAAAACACCACAAGAAAGAAACAAGACAAATTCTGCATTATTACCTCAAAGAGATGTCTGTTTTGATCTGTCCCAGAAGTAGTGCTAGTATTTTCTGTGTTCCTATAAAAATAAATAAAAAAAAGTCAGATTTGCCATTTCCAGATAAAAAGAAACTTGCAAAAAATAGCGGTTATGTTGTTTTTTTAAATATAATCTTTAGTTTAAGTATTTTATAAACACAAGCACCATAGAAAATGGCTATAGCTGCTATATGTTTTGACACTGACAACAAACCCTTGTCTGCAAATACTTTAACAGTACAGCAAGCTACTTGCAGTGCAACCTCAGTTGTCCAGCTAAACACAAAGTTAAAATACAGACATATCCCTTAGGATAAAGTACACAAAACGCAGGAGTTACACCTTAAAAATACATTCAAGTACCTGAACTAACTTGGCTTGGAGTGGTGACTACTTTACAACACACACAGGAACCATGGGGAACCCTAGTACCCACACTCCAGAAGAAAGGACAGTGTCACCACCAATTCAGAGATGATTTGATGATGATCTACAGCTGAGTGATACACAAATAAAAAATATACTTGTTAATAGTTAAAGGTACTGGAATCCATTTTTAAGATTTAACTCCTGAGTTTAGTGCCACTCTAAATTTCAGTATTACGTAAGCTAGAGGCCAGTGTTTTTATTTACCTTATTTCAGGAAGCTCTTCTATAAACCCTGATTCGCACCTAGGGCAAATGTACTCCTTCAATGACAAAAACAAGATACATTAGATTACATAACAATATATTATCAAAACACCTAGTTGCCAGGAGAAAACAATCAAACTATTTTTAAACAGGTACCAGATTTCAATGCAAGGAATAATGTTTTATGCTGCCCCATTTTATGCCAATGTAATTGTTGCCCAATTGTGCTAAATAAATAAAATGAATTAAAAGTGAAATAAAATAAAACAATATAAAAAAAAAAAAAAAAAAAAAAAAACAAAA